TCAAAAGCAGATTACTGGAGATTTCTGGAAATCTCAAGATGCCCAGAAAATCGTGTTTGAGGGGTGAGTGTCAGATCACCTTCACTCAGCCAGTTGGTACTTACTTGCCGGGTGCCTTCCAAGTGGCAGCCTTCAGGCCCAGGCCACTGGGGGGCCTGTGACATCCTCCCTGGCTCCTGTGCCGTGACACAGCTGGAAAGCAAGCACCGCAGCAGCGCTCTGTCAAAGCAGTTTGTCACTGTTTTCTGTACGGGCACGGCGACGAGCTGCTGCCGGCATCAGGTGGGCAGAGCTCCCTTGTGCAGGGCAGTACCACGGCCCACTGTGGCAGATAGTCATCCAGCGGCGACCCCATTCGCGCAGGTTCAGAGCTGTGCTCTACGCCAAAGCAGCCCTTCCTCAGCCACACACTGCCACAGCCTGAGCTCCAGCTGCCCTACTGCTCACAAGCCCACGGCGGCTTCCCTCTGTCCTGTCCTGAGTGAGCAGGGCTGCTCACAGCAGCGGCCTGGAGCACCTCTCAGGCGGGGACTCTGCGGTGCCTATTCCCTGCAGCTTCGTCTTCGCAAACTGTCTGTGGGGCACTTCCCAAGCATGGCCGTGACAGGTCCCATGGGTCGCACGGCCTTTCTTTCATATTTACTTGGGGCAGGGTCTCACTACACAACTCGGACTCATAGTGATCCTCCTGTTTCAGCCTCCCCAGAGCTGGGATTACAGGCGTGTGCCACCATGCCTGACTTTTGGGGCCGTCACCGCACAACGCCTCAGGGCTGGCATGGCGTGTGGTGCCAGGGATCAAACTTGGGTCCATGTACTTGCCAGGCAGGCACTTAGACCACCAAGCTATCTCCCACCCCGTCGCATGGCCATTCTTCGGCCAGGTGTAGGCAGCCCTGAGCCCTGCTCTCCAGTGAAGCCGGCTCCTACCCCCGGCTCCTGGAGGTTGCTAACTCTTGCTCTCTCTCCTCTGCCAGGCCTTTTATAAAGTCTTTATTTCCTGAAAATCTACAAGCTGATAAGAAAGGACGCCCAACTACTGCTGGAAGCAAAATAAAGGTTAGTCCAGCTGGGGAAGTTCCTAGATTCTTCTGAGATCGGGGGCTCCCAGGCAGGACTTAGCGAGGGAAGGGGCTGCTGAGAGGCACCCCCAAGTCCACATACCACTTGTGAAAAGGTCACGGGGTATAGTTGCATCTGCCATGACTGCTCTGAAACCCCAAATGGATCTTAAGTTTAATAGTCGGCCGATTATACGCAGCTGCTCTCCAAGAGGAAACAGCCTTAAGCTGAATCTAGAAGAATTTAGGTTAAACTAGCAGAGAAATTTTGTAGTTGGGAGTCATGCTTTGGCTGTTGAGGTCGGTTTTGCAGGCTAGGCCCCAACCCTGCCACCCTAGAACATGGCTCGCCTGAAGCTTGGCTTCCTTGTGTAGGGATGACTTACAGCCCGCGCCCCCCTCTCCCGGGTCTGGCTGTAGTTTGCATGATGTGTCCCAGAGCCAGGAGGAAGTCTGTGTTTCCAGGCGTCCCTTGCGGGCAGAGCCCTGTCTGGGCCACGGTGCGGTGAATTCATCTTCACCAGTTGCGTTCTGCACGGAAAAGTTGTGCCGGCGTAACTGAGGAGTAGTCACTGGATACTTTGTCTTAAGACCACAGCAGCATAGTAGGGCTTTGCTAGTTCTGTTGCCCACGTTCACAGTCCCTGGCTCTGGCTGTCCGTGGGACTGCCAGCCTGTCACCCACCTTCAGAGCCCCTTTTGCTTATTCGGGGCTGGAGGTCTTAGTGTCTATCTGAGGGGCTGTCAGTCACCCCTCGAGGGCATTTCACAGGGTGCCTGAAACATCTTCTGCACAAAAAGCTGGTCACGTCCTCTTGTACTCTACCCTGTACGCACACACACCCCTGTGCTTGTTCCACGGCTTATCCCGGCATGCACACCTTCTCTTGCACGGGCGGGTCCTGCTGCTGTTCGTCCCCGGTGCCCCCCGTGTGCAAGTCCACGAGGAGCCTCTCACTGCGCCACCCTAGACCCCAGTCGGGGCACCCTGAGTGTGTGGCTCCTCTGGCTCCTTCATGCGCGCCGCCTGGCCCCTGGCCCCTGCCAGGCTTCCTGGGGGCAGCAACCCTGGCCACAAAGCAGGAAGCAATAGAGCCTCCATCAGGAGGCATTCTTGGCTTTTGGGGCAGAAGTCAGGTACCAGCTGCTGTTTTGGTTTGTGGGGTTTTTGGCTTGTTTTTTTTTTAAAGACCGAGGAGCCTCAGTATCTCACTCCACTGCCCGGGCTGGCTTTCGTCTCCTGGGCTCAGCGGAGTGCCCTGCTTCAGCCTCGGGAGCTGGGGCCCTGCCTTGCGCCACCGTGCCCGACTTTGCAAGCTGGGTTCTGGGCCTGAGGAGCTTAGGTCCGGGGCGCTCACTGGGTTAGGTCTTGTGGAGCGGAGTGGAGTGCAGGCGCCAGATGGCACTTGGTGAGGTTTGGATGTTGACGCCCATGTGATGCTCCTGACTCACGCTTCGCTTCGGGGCTCTGGGAGGACTCGCCCTGGGCCGGAACGTCTGGTCATGGGACTGCCTCCCTCGGACTGAGGGCTGCTCACCAGGGATGGTGACTCAGCCCGCGTGTCTGCGTTACAGACCGTGCAGAAGAGCAGGGACTGAACAGGGCTCTCTTCCCGCCTTTGAAAGTCTGCTGTCTTTGCTTGGCGTTTGCCTCAGGGTGACAGAATTTGGGCCCTTCCCAGGAGGTCAGTGGAAGGCAGCCAGCTTATGCAAAGCAGGGGGGCTCACCCCAGGGCCTCCTTGGTGAGCTGTGTGTGTGCTCTGTCCGCCTGGAGCTCTACCAGGAAGGGCGGCCTCTTCCCCACAGGGGGCCTCCCAGGAAGCTGTGCTCGGCCAGCTTCCCCCACCACAGTGCTTACAGATGTCCCCAGGTGACCAGGGTGGGGCACAGGACAGCCCGAATTCCTTGAAGAAAAGCTGAATTTGTGTTCAGGGTAGTTTTAGAGTTTGTTATTTTGCATTCTAATTGTTTAAACATGTAAAGCTCCTGTATGGTATAGATTCTAGAGGGTTTCCTAGAATATTTGCTTATTGGAATAATCACCAACTTGGTTGTAAATAAAAGCGGGCTCTATTCAAGGACACTTAATTTGGAGATTTCTCTAAATTTCCTAGTGTTCTGGATGACTGAGCTTGAAGTTAAGTGAGGGTCAGAGTTGGAAAGATTGGGGCAGAATCAGGTCCAAGGTGGCCAGGTGCCCCGTGACCCAGGTGAGCTGGGGTCCGACGCAGGGGCTGGGGGCCAGCCTGCTCCACTCCATGTGTGTTGTCCACTCCACCTTCAGATCAGGCTACCAGAGGCCTCTGCTTAGCCCGCATGGGCTAGGCTGCCTTGGAGACGCTGAGGCCTAAAAAGCCTAGCGACTAGTCACGCCCCGCGGTCAGCACAGAGCTGGCCGCCCACCCTGGCTGTGTGCCCTCCGTACAGAGCGGGAGGCCCAGGCTCCTCCGCTCTCGCTGCCCTCGCTGTGTCCACGCACCAACGCCCCCTTCTGTTGAGCTAGTGTTGCCCGCTTCTGTCGGCCCTAGATTCAGGCGCCTCAAGGATCTCAGCTACTGCTGTGTGCCTGCCCAGTGACCCTCAGGATAACGGGGAAGGCTGGATGTATGCTCATGGCCGACTCCCCTGGTAGCTTGGTGTCTGCCACAGCAGTTCTGCCGCATCTCCGCCAGGAAGGAGAGTAGCGCTGTGGTTGGACCCGGGCTCAGGTTGAAGTCTTCCCTCCGCTGCTTACACACGGTCATCTCAAGCAATCCTGTGTTTCCAGAAAGCCCAGATTTTCCACAAAATGGGAATAACAGTGGTAGCTATCACTTAGGCCTGGTGTGAGGTGGCGAGAGCCCAAGGTACCCCACACCTTGCCCACGAAGCACATCCAGTAGCTGTTGTCCAGTGACCGTTCTGACCCAGCGAGAACTGCGCTCAAGTGGCACAAAAACAGCACCACTCACTGCATCCTGTCCTATGCTGCGTGAGAAGACTACGGCTGCTGAACGCTTAGGACACAAGGAAATCAAAGGCTTTAAATGGAAAGATGAGGATCCAGAATTAAAGGTGACTGGATTACGTTTGGAGGCTGAAGAAGCTTCCGCAGTCCCTCTCCAACTTCACCTTCCTGTTGCAAAGATCCTCAGATGGCCGTTCAGGGGCAAGCAACACCATCACAGGAGACATGCGGCCACCGCTGCCTCCGCAGGCTTTGCTTGGGTCAGGCGAGCTCCACAGCCCCGCCCTCATTTCAGGCATACAAACAGCTCTATCTGTGTCTGTCCCCGCAGAGGCTGGAGCCGCCAGCGGTGTCCTGCTGTGTCTTTGCCCCATGGTTTTCCCAAGGGTCTCGGGTTTCCCACTCCCATGGGAACAGTGAAGCCCTCACCCAGAGCGAGAGCAGATGGTCTGCTGCAGCACAAGGCTTCTGCTGACTGGATGGTTTATGGTTGTCACGCTTTGGAGACAGGTTTTCCCTGTTTTCTTTCAGAGGTTTCCCCTCTCTGTGCTGATTTGCCTGGAGGAGGGTTTGCCTTGGTGCCACATCCTCAGGCCACAGGGCAAGCGCTGCTGTGGGGCGGGAACACCGGCATGGGCGTGGCTCGCTGTGCACACGCAGCGTGGGTGCTGACTCGCCGAGGTCTGGCTTCGCGCATGTGGCTCTGTCTGCCTGGGCTCAGTGCTGTTTTGGGTCCTGAGAGTGTAGGTAATATAAATGAGGTGCCGTGGAATGTCCCAGCTTCGAGAAGGAAGGAGGTGCCTGCCAGGGGGACGCCGCTCATCCCCAGGCTTATACAGGGACGTGTGTTCTTATACAGTGGAGTATTGCTCAGATCTAAAAGGTAAGCTCGAGGCTTTATAGGTAAATGGATGCAGCTAGAGACTGCTCATTGGTGAAATAAATCAGACTCGTATATGTAACCATGGAATTGTCTCCCTGGTGTAAGAACCTCAGAGTAAATAAAATCCGAAAGGTACAATAGATACTGTGAAAGGGAAAGAAACTGCGCAAAGAAAGAGAAACTGGGATGGGGAAAAGAGAAAGAAAGAATATACATACGTACACTCGGGCCGCAGTACATGCACACACGCACACACGCACACATGCACACACACAATGCCTAATTTCTGTGAGTTCGTTGAAAGGCGCGGCTCGTGCTTGCGCTGCCAGGTCGGTGTCGCACGCCTGCACCTGGTGATCTGAGCAACTGCTTTGGAGAGGACAGTATGCAAAGTGACAGCCATTGTTCACTTCCTGTCACCTTGTTCTGAAATTCTGTATCGTTTTATTTTTTACATTATTATCTTTAAAATA